GGGAGATGTCTGGAAATGTTATTTAAAAACAATATAAATATGAAAGTAAAATAATTTCCGTAATAAAGATGAATACTGGTGCCCAATGCATTTAGAGAATTAGAGAATTTTTCCACTAGATAATTTTTTCAGTGCTTCTAAGTTACTTTTACCCCTGCTTATCCTGCTCAGAAAGCCATTCAAGAAGGTTAAAACAAGCACTCAGAGTAACTAATCAGAAGCTGCTCCTATTAATCACTTCCAAATCATGTATTGTGAAAAGACATATTGCAAGACTTATTTTAATTGTTTGTATCTAGTCGAAGAACATACAGCACGCTGGAACTCTTTATTTCGCATTGCAAATTGGACTGGGGTATTAAATTTACAGAGTCAATCATACAAGGATTCCATATCCAACAGCTGTATCTCATCTTGCTAATCTGTAGGTTTATTTTTAAAAATATTGGGTGGGGGTGTTTTTAAGAGAAGTCACACAGTTCTTCTCTTACCCCCCCACCCCACCCCCAGCAAATGGATTCCTTGTTGTGTTGTGGAGAGTGATAAATTGATACCACATGTCCCTTCCAGACAAAAAGCCTCTGTACTCCGGGCGAGGTGCATGCAGCTGGTGTCTGAATTAATGGGCAAGTCCCATAAGGTAAACACAGCATGGAAGGGACTGAAACAGAAACTGAGCTCAGAAGAGTGGGGAAAATTTTGTAGAAAAGGATCTGCCAATGTTTCTAAACTAAAGAAATAAAGAACAAATAGAACTCGGAAATACGAGAAGCAGTGGTTCTGATCAAGTCAGCAAAACTGTAAACAGCCTGAGTAAAACGTATTCCTTGGTCTTCTACTGTCCTTATAAAACTTATGAATGAACACGGCAAAGCACATGCAGTGCATACATTTCATTATTTGTAACAGGATAGGTAATTCCACTAAGGAGTGTTCCTTATGATTGGGAGAATGGACACATGTTTTCTGTGGGGATGCAATTAACAATAGCACTTGGGCTTATATACCGCTTTCCAGTGCTTTCCAACCCTCTCTAAGCAGTTTACAGAGTCAGCATATTGCCCCCAACTATCTCGGTCCTCATTTTACCAACCTCAGAATGATGGAAGGCTGAGTCAACCTTGAGCTGGTTAGAATCGAACTACTGGCAGTTGGCAGAATTAGCCTGCAATGCTGCATTCTAACCACTGCACTACTACGGCTCATAACTTTGCCTTTCTCTTTCTGCTACCATTTTGTCTAATATTTCTTCTGCAAAGCTTCAGTTTATATTTCAAAGAAAATCTTCATTGGTGCTGGTGGAACATTCCCTTCTATGCATATGACAATTTTAGAGAGGAACTCAAATTCCCAAAACTGCTCAGGCTGCTTGGTAGCTGTTGTTGACATAACATATTATGTGCACATTGGCCCTAGAAGCACCGTGCCTAGAAGCATGGCGGAGAGGGATCCCCAGTACTTCTGATCTTTGGGACAGGTTTGATCCCATGATGGAATGTTGCACTTGAATGTTGAAATGCAGGAACTTTATATGAGATAGCGGAGGCCATATTTAGCTTGAAAGGGAACTAGTAGTGTTCATTCAGATTGACTCAGGTTGGTTTTCAATCGTTATAAATGCAGGGGAAGGCAGTGTACATTAGTTTTAAGAAACTAATTCATTCAACAATCACCTAGTATTGCCCATCAGCAAGAAACAACATAAGTAACAATTACTATGAAGTAAGAAAATGAATATGAAGTGGGTTTTTTTTTATCACTAGCTACTTTTGTGTGAGGAAGAAATTGGACAAAACCATAACCAAAGCTACTAAAATTAGACTTGTCTATTACAATAAGGTGTTAGTTTCTTTTTCCACTGAGAAAAGTCACCCATAACCAAAACACAGGATTTGATAGATAGGGGGGGTTAGCTTTAGGTAAAGTCTCAAGTCTTACGGTTGTAATAGCTTGCTTTTTGTCACTCAGGCTAAATGCATTTGAACTGTGTCTTAATCTGAATATTTGTTGGGTAAAAGCTTGACACTTTGACACATAGTACCCTGTTTCTCCAACAATACGGCCTCCCCCAATAGGAAGTCCCAGCATGTTTTATAGGCATGAAATGAAATTAAGCCCCTCCCCCCAAATTAAGGCCTATATTAAAACATGCGAAATGGGGGGGAATGGTGGGGGGCTTGCCATTAGGAAGTACTTTTGTTGCACACCCGGATATGGTGCTGCCTGCGTTGACCCCGATACGAAGTGCCCCACCAACACCGAGGTCAACATCCAAGCCGTCGCTGCCCGCCCGCCCAAAGATGCAAGGGGGGGAATTAAGTCACCTCCAAAAAGACAGCCTAGCCATTTTTTCGGGGCTCAAAAAAAAAATAAGACCCGGCCTTATTATATGAGAAACACGGTAGTAGCATTAATGCTCCAAAATTCAGTAAATTGTATAAGATTTTCATCAAACTCTGTGTAGGGTAAATCACTCTCATGCGATGCACAGATAATTATTATTACTTTTATTGTTTTTATTATTAGATGACTGAAAGGTTTTGAGAGCTTACACATAGATGGAGGTACACAGTAGGGTTATAATCCTTCTGGTTAAAAGAAAAAACCCTCACTCATTGAAAATCTGTATGCACCCATTAGCGTATTTGCAGAGCTTGGAATCAAAGCCATAAACTGGCAAAGTTAAAAGAAAACACTCCAGAGCTTTTTACTTTATTGAAGGCGTGCAAATGCCACAAAGGGAGAGTGGCACTTGGTATGTATTTGCTTGAAGTGATAATTTATTTTATTTACTTCTTTGTCAAATTTATGTGGCTGCCCATCTTATGAAAAAGCTATTCTAGGCAGCAGACAACAGTATATATATATCTGCTGTGATCAAGAGAGAAAATCCTGGCTTGGAATTTTATTACTATTTTTCCCTTTACTGGACCTGGCCTTAGACAAAACATTTTTTCTGTACTTAAACGATGAATAAAAAGCACGTAGACTGCATGTCTTTGCACACCCCAGATGTTTTTCATTAACTTAATGTCATCCTGCTTCTTTATGTCAGATGTAGCAATGCCAATGTGAATCATCGAGCTTGAATGACAATCCCCGTTGTACATTATAAAATAGGGTTTTTTAAAAAAAAAAAAAATCAGCAATTTGCAAATTCTTACTATCCTGTTTTCAAAAACATGTTTTCAAAAGCATTTCACTTTTCCACTTGGATATGATCCACATCTGCCAGTAGTTTTTAAGTATCTCCTCACATTTCAACAGACCGGGTCTTACTGTGGTTTCCTCAAGATTCTTATCTCCAAAATACTTTAAGATTTTAACACGCACAATACAAAGCTGCTTGTTTTAATTGTTAAAGTAACAAGGACCAACTTTGCAAGCAGCCATCCAGGACTTGCAAATGACATGGCTGCTTTAGCAATCTGAAAAGAGAGGCCTAGGCCTCTGCGCTTTGTAAAGAACTAGCTTTGCTTTGCACAATTGGAGTATATTTGAGGTATATAGGCTGTAATCCTACCAGTCTCATCTTCCTTTGGGTGTGTCCAGACAAAGGGTTGTCGCAGTAACAACCACAAGACATTCTGCCTTTGCCACCTTTCCCAACTTAATCTGCCTTTCCCTTTATTTATTTTTTTCTGATATGGTAATTAAAATAATTAAAAGAAATGGTGGGAATATGCAGGAGGTTAATTATTGGAAGAAATCTTCCAATCAGTTCTCTGAAAAATTCTGAGTGTGGTGGTTTGATATTTGACAATAAAAGCCTTATCTGGAAGTCTTCCCTCTGCCACTCTTTTTTATAAACTATAAACCTAAAGTACATCTCAATGGAATGGCTGGAAATAGCTTTTAAACTAGCAGCACTTTGTCTCTTGCAGCCATGAGTTCATTCTAGTATGACCCTCAATGGCATGCTGATTTTGGGGCAATGGGTTTTCTCCTCTCAGTGGTGTTTTGACTTCTTTCATTTCTTATGCCAATTGACTAGAATTTGGTTTGCTCAACTCTTTCATATCCACTAGTAAAAACTACACAGTTGGTGATTGTGCTATATATAATTGTTTTTCTCTTTGGAAACTTACAGCAATGGCTCAGGGTAGAATATTAACCAAGTTAGTTTGCTCAGACACCACTAAAGGAAAAGGGAAGATGAGAAAAAAAACTAATAAACATAGTTGTTGCTATTTACAGAAGATCATTAGGTTACAACATGTCGAACAGGTTTACTTTGCGTTTTCAGTTTGTACACTATGATTTAAAAATAAGCAAGTTGCAGGACTGGTTCTTGACTATAAGCACTTAGGATCATAGGATATCTATATTAATTATCCTGATTTTCTATGCATCTGATTACTTTAGCAACTATTTTAATGGGAGGCTTTTTAAATAAAAGCTAGAGATTCTCTTTAAGCTAATGAACATAAAGTAAGAGAATTTGTTTAGAAAACCACACTAAATCACCAAAGCCATGTGCTTGCAACAGTAGCATCAGTACTAAATGTTCTTTCTCGTGAAAGGGCTTATCAATACATTCATTAGATTCAGGCCATGCTTTTTATCATGATTCCTATTCTAAATTCTATATTTATTCTAGTGTCTGAACAACCTATTAAAAACTAGAGAAGTAATAGCAATAATGGAAGTCCCAAAGGTGCTTTTTCAGGAGGCAACTGGACTTTCTTGTTTTGTCTTTGAAGACATTTCGCTTCTCATCCAGGAAGCTTCTTCAGCTCTGACAGGATAGTTCCTCCACTATCCTGTCAGAGCTGAAGAAGCTTATTGGATGAGAAGCAAAATGTCTTCAAAGACAAAACAAGAAAGTCCAGTTGCCTCTTGAAAAAGCACCTTTGGGATAACTGAGAATCTCTACAGACTTTTAGCAATAATGGAAGTTTTTTTTCTTTATGTTTTTTATGTCTTAAGTATTATATTGAATAATGGCATTTCCTTGACATATTCTAAATTTTGGGGGGTTTTGTGTGTTGTCTTTGCAGAACTCAATCAGACACAACTTGTCACTTCACAGTCGATTCATCAGGGTACAGAATGAAGGAACTGGGAAAAGCTCGTGGTGGATGATCAACCCCGATGGAGGAAAAGGAGGGAAAGCACCACGCAGACGGGCTGTATCGATGGACAACAGTAACAAATACACAAAGAGCCGAGGACGAGCAGCTAAGAAAAAAGCAGCCCTTCAAGTCGCCCAGGAGACAAGTGATGACAGCCCCACCCAGCTATCCAAGTGGCCTGGTAGCCCAACCTCCCGTAGCAGTGATGAACTGGATGCGTGGACAGATTTCCGGTCTCGTACCAACTCGAATGCCAGTACAATAAGTGGCCGCTTGTCCCCAATATTGGCAAGCACTGAGCTAGATGAGGTGCAGGATGATGATGCTCCCCTTTCTCCCATGTTGTACAGTAGCTCACCCAGCATGTCCCCGTCAGTGAGCAAGCCCTCTAACGTTGAGCTGCCTAGGTTGACTGACATGGCAGGCACGATGAACTTGAACGATGGCTTGACAGATAATCTTATGGATGACCTCCTGGACAATATAACCCTTCCCTCTTCCCAGCAGTCACCCACAGGAGGTCTTATGCAGAGAAGCTCAAGCTTTCCATACGGCTCCAAAGGTTCAGGGCTTGGTTCTCCATCCAGTAGTTTCAACAATGCTGTGTTTGGTCCATCATCTCTGAATTCTCTCCGTCAGTCTCCCATGCAAACCATCCAAGAGAACAAGCAAGCTACATTTTCTTCCATTTCACACTACAATAACCAAACTCTGCAGGATCTGCTGGCATCGGATTCACATAGCCACAGTGATGTCATGATGACTCAGTCCGATCCACTCATGTCACAAGCTAGCACCGCTGTGTCTGCCCAAAACGCCCGCAGGAATATTATGCTTCGAAATGATCCAATGATGTCGTTTGCTGCTCAACCTAGTCAGAGCTCTTTGACCAATCAGAACCTGCTCCACCACCAGCATCAATCCCAGAATTCCTCTCTCAGTGGCAGCCGTGCCTTGTCAAATTCTGCCGGTACTATGGGCTTAAGTGACACCAACCTTGGATCAGCAAAACACCAGCAACAGCCACCTGCCAACCAGTCTATGCAATCACTTTCTGACTCCCTCTCAGGCTATGCCAACAGTGTGAGCCTTCCGGTCATGGGGCACGATAAATTCCCCAGTGATTTGGATCTGGATATTTTCAACGGGAGCTTGGAATGCGACATGGAGTCCATTATCCGCAGTGAACTCATGGATGCAGATGGATTGGATTTTAATTTTGATTCCCTCATCTCAGCCCAGAATGTTGTTACACTGAATGTGGGAAACTTCACTGGTGCTAAGCAAGCTTCATCACAGAGTTGGGTTCCAGGCTGAAGGATTTATGCAAAGAGGGGAAAATGGGCAAAGCAGGTTAGCAATGTTTAGTCTGTTGCATTCGGTACTGTACTTGACAGTATGTAACTATAGCCTTTAAAGTGGACAAGTACAGCTTTTACAGCAAACATTCAGACCTAACTAAGGATTAGATTAAAGCTTAGCAATGATAATAGTTTCCCATAGAAATGACTCAAGGCTGATTTAATTTCAGTCTTCACCATTGTGTTCTATGAGCATACTATATGGAAAGATGTAATCCGTTCCCAAACCCGATGCATGTTGAAACTTTTCAGAAAACTGTTTTGTATGTGTGTGTGTGTGTGTGTGTGTGTGTGTGTGTGTGTGTGTGGCTCCTCCTACTTGGTGATTGTTTTATAATTTCCAAAAAAAATCACTGCATGGGATTTTGTTAGTGTGATGTTAGTTCCAACTTGCATCATTATGGGGTAAATCATTAAGCTAAAGTGCTATCTACCAACCCATCCTTAAATTAGCAAACAAACAAACAAACAAACAAAACCACTATATTAGAACAACATTGGCTGTTCGCATTGCCAACCTTTATTCTGCCTCTCGCCTGTCTTGTTTTGATGCACTGTTGGACAGTAGAGTCCTGATTTTCCATGTGAGGAGCAAGGAGAGATCTGGCTTTGCTGCCCTTTCTCTTCTGCGTATCACCAACCATCAAGGACGCTATCTGATAGTCACAGCACCGGACCAGAAATGGGCAGGTCCACCTCTTAACACCTCACCCTGTTGTAACTTAAGCCGAATAGGTTTGTGTGTGTTTTTTTAAAAAACAAACAAACAAACATAATTACAGAGGGTAATGAGTTGCTGCTTTTTTGTTTAAGGTTTCTATCCCCTTCTCCTCCTTTACATTCTTTATATAGATAATAAGTGATGACTTCATGCTCGGTTAGGGAGGCAAGGAGGAAGGGCTGGTCATTCATCCCACTGTTTTCCTATCTCGGCCTTGTGCTAAACTGATAAGGGCCATGCTGCCTGAGCAGTCTTCTGCTTTTGCAAACTCTGCTAAACCAGCAGCACGACACATTCACCTTTAGGAAGACCAAGCAGAATGATGGCGGACAAGATTGGCCAGGGAGGGGGAGGGGGGAGGAGTGTGCCCATTATTAACCTGGAACAGCCAATGAGAGTTTCTCTTAACTGCACCTGCTACTGGTCATCTTACTTCACCCCGATATAAATGGTGGCAAAGCACAACAGCTGTTGCTGGATGCTCTTGGCTAAAGAGGAAAAACATCATTGTAACACTTCAGCTAAGAAGGTCTTAATTCTGCCTCAGTCCTAGGCTGCCAATGAGAGAAAAGCAACATCATCACGAGGAGACAGTAGAAAAAAGATGTTGCCAAGTCATGGTTGTATTATTGTTAGGTGCAAGTGGGAAAAGGCCTTAAGGGGAAAGTGAATTAAGGAAGAAGCCCAAAAAGTTATGGATATAGATCTTATCACCAAAGTAGTTTCTGAAATAAATTCACATTTTCCAATCTTATAGGCAGGCAATCTCATCCTAGCTACTTTGGATGAATCTGTTGCCACGTTATCATTCATTTATTTTCTCCTGTCAGAAGTAAAGATAATGTAAACAATTACAATTACCAAGTGAGAATCAATATTGCACATTGTTTTTCTTGTCAAACTGCTTTCCAAAGTTACTTTTCCACTCAGATAAGAACCTAGCATCCTGTGACAAGATTATGTGACTCTTTTACTTTGCAGTAATAGCTAATGCTTTGAAAAAAGAAATTAAGCCTTCAGAGTAGAATATTGGGGGAAGAAATTGATTTCTATGATTTTGAACAAAGAAAAAGCAGTTGTACAGTCTGTAATAAAATCTTGGGGGTTACCCTTGCCAATATCATTTATCAAATTTAGGTGTACTCTGAAGATGTTATTTGTATTCCAAATAATAACTTGCTGACATTTTCACATAAACTGGTTTGGGGCCAGTTTGGGTTTGACAAAAAATATCTGAAATATTGTAAGTAGTATAGTATTCGATCATATATAGTATGATTTTTAAGAGGACTACAAATTCCCTGTGGCATGCAGTTTAATACTGTAATCCTTGGCTAAAAATGCTAAGAGAGGATGCAGCCATGATTATCAAATTCCTATCAAAGAATGCTCAGGTAGATTTTCAAGAAGACTAAGCATTATATTGATCTCTCCTGCTTAGAGTTGCCAGTATTTTGACTGGCAAAAAGTCTTCACCTCTCATTTCCTCCAGTAAGCAATGTTGTTGGCAAAAATACTTTTGTCATTTCATTTTTCACAGCATGAAAGTAGAATGAAGTACCAGAAAAGAAAAAGTGATTGTTCCATCATGAAAATGTAGTCATCTCTTAGCATAGAGTTAGCCTGCCTGCCTGTCTTCTTTCTTTCCTTCCTTCCTTCCTTCCTTCCTTCCTCCCTCCCTCCCTCCCTCCCTCCCTCCCTCCCTCTCACAAAGGAATAAGTTCCATTGAACCCAACAGGATTTTTAGCAGAATAAACAAATAGGAGTCACTATTTATTCTTCAAAACTAAAACCAATCTACATGAACATTACGCATAATATATATTTATAATTTATATCTTAAATCTGTATATTTACAGTAAAGCGAAGAGAAAAACAAAAATATTGTGGTTGTAATTTAAAGCCATTTAGGAAAACCACAATAATGTTGATTAGCCCATATTGTAGCATCAATTGTAGCATGATTTGCCAGCAATATTCATTCAAAAGCATACATGTCAGCGCTAGAGAAAAACACAGAAGAAGGTGAACCAATTATTATATTTTATATTATATTTTATAAGTGTGACTTGATTCATTAGCTGACCCCCAACCCTCTCCTTGAAATATACAGAGTTGCTAAAATTTTCTCTCATTGGTCTTACAGTAGTTATGTGTAAAAGATAAAATCAGCAGTCTCTTTTACTGCTTTGCCGAAATTCCAATTTCCTTTTTTTCCTTTTCATTCCAGAGAATCAATGAGAACTTTAGGGACGGGATTATATAGTACATGGTCCTGAAAAACCACTCATCAAGGGCCAGGGATAAGTTGGCAAATTATTTTGTGGGCATAATACACTATAGGCTTTCAGTTATTGGAGACTTTCTCTGTGCTTTTCCGAAGGCCATTATGTTCATAAGACTCAAGAAAGATAATTGGAAACTGGCTGTTCCTACCGTTGCCAAAATTACGGAATAGCATAGGATGACAGCATTGCTGGATATTTTTAGAGCAAGCAGAGCAACATTGGGTGGAGTTCATAATGCGTTCACTTTTGTATCAAACTGACTTAGGCTCATATTGTAAAACATTGTTGTTGTTTTCTGTGAATATTTGTCACAGTTTAACGCTAGGATTTCAAATTTGTTTTCCTTCTCCGTTTTGAATCGCTAAGATTTTTCAAGAGTGCTTTTTGTAATAATGCTTTTTTCTTGGAAAAAAAAATCAAGCCTTTAAGATTGCTATTTTCTAAGTTAGCAAAGTATGGCAAAACAAAGACTAACGCTAGACTTTCCTGGAAACGATTGCCATGATTTTAATTAACTTGGCTACTAAAAACGAATGCCTTGTGCTTCAATCTTCCATGCAGGGTTCCATTTATGGTAATTTATGGTATGCTAGAGGAGGTAGGAAGGGCAACGACTAAATCCTTGCATGTCATAAATATCTTCTGGATGTGGCTGTAACAATTGTACTCTAAATTGTTTCATTTTAATTCAGTTTTCAGTTCAGGTTGATTGAAAGGTATTGGCTACTTTGTGTGGCAATTTGTTACTAATGACCAACAGCTGCATGCTTTTCAGATTCATTCTATGAGTAGGAGTAACCATCCAACCATAGTAACCCTCCAAGAGTTGTTACTTCTGAATCAGGAATTTGGAACAGTCCAATGCCCTGGCTGATGATACCCTAAAAGTTCGTGGATGATGGAGCCATATTAACTTTGCTGGCTCACCAAAGAGGCCAGGAATTAAAACATTATGCTTTACCCAATTGTATGAGTAGAAACACTGAGAGGAAATGACCGGATCATTGTATTCATAAAAAAATTGCACAAGCAGAAAACTAAGTGTTTCCTTTTTGTAACGTATCATGGAGTTACACAGTATTGAGAATTCTTCATGAATGAATTGAAATACATTTAATTTTAAAATGTAGAATAATTGAATTGATATATTCCACAAATTAAATATTATATTTGCTCCAACTTAACACTTTCTACCTTATGCCTACTTAAGAGATCCTGGAGAAATGTTATCTAGCTTTTGACTCACCTGTTAAAAGATGGTCATGACCTGTGCTTCCATTTTTAATTTGCTTTTGAACATTTTACCCTTAGGTATTGAAAAAGAGTAAAAGAATTGGCAGCTGATGATCTTTGCCAAAATTGCTTGTGTTCACATATAAATCAAGCCATGTAGTAATTTCCTTGTGGCTCAGCAGCATGTATGAATTTAGCCAGCATTTGTTTGGCTTTAGGAGCTCAGTATGGCATTTGAAAATCCACCCCATACATCTGTATTGCTTGCTATTGAATATGTATTGTAATTAATACATTATAATAACTGCAGACCTACACTAACATGTATTTTACAAATATCCTCCCTTATATACCTTGCTAGACTGACCTGTATTATGCAAAGATAGCATAGTATTTATTGCATGCTTAGTGTATATAATCTTTCTTCTTTTTTATTTGGCATCTTCCAGTCTTTTTAATTTTTTATCTGCTCTTCATTTAAAATAATGTTTTTCTAATCTTCCCGGAGAAGTAATTGAATTTGAGGAGGACTGCAAGGGTTTGATTTATGGGAGATCTTTTATTACACTTTTCCTCTTGAGCTGTCTATTATTAAGCATCTTGGGGGCTTTGTATGTCCTATGACACATCACAACAGTGTTGGCTCCTTTTAAATGATTTGTCTTGGCTTTCTGACCTGTCAAATTCATTTAACAACATTAGCAAATGAGAGTTCTTCATGACAGGAAGAATTGCTTTCATGATAACCA